TTACGTTACTAAAAAAGAAAAGGTTTTTTTTATGCAACTTCAATAAAAAGTGAGATTTACAAGGATAAAAGTTATGCTGTAGCATTTTACTTGGCTAATATATTGATAAAAATTTGAAAGAAAAAAAGAAAATTGTTTGAAGTAATATTTTAATATCAATATAGTGCAAAAGTTAACTTCATTATTTATGTATATCCACTGAAGTTTTCTATGTTTTTTCTCATTAAACATTGAACTTATGCATTGTTTAAATTATGGACCAGTCAATGACTGCAATAACAAACATCCCTACAGAAGATTTTCACATCAACAACTTTTCAAGTAGAATGCTGAGGTGTATTAAGAGGTTTTATTGTTCTAATCAGATTAAGTCCCTTCACAATTATATAGCTATATATCTAATAGTAAACCATGAATATGTGAAGCATAATGTATGTAATTAATAGTTCTACTTGATAGGCTTAAACAACAATTGACATAATTTAGATATAAGAAATGTAAAAATTAACAGCATGATAGCCTTAAACACAACAAATGAATGGATGTTATAAATCTGATAAGGAAAACAAAGTAACAATCATCACCAAAAGAAGCAACTATTGTCTTATTGCAAGGTATGAAGAACAACTTCATATTCGTTAATCAACTGATAAAAATACCTTGAATAATGATAAAAATAACGAAGGAAAAAAAAAAAAGCAACCATTGTCTTCTATTTTCATTCTATTTCATATTGATGCCTCTCCAACGAAGATTGTACCTCTAGTACCCTTAGAAAAAAATGGAACATTCTTTTTTTTTTTTCATATTTGCTCAACAGTAGCTCCTCTCATTGGTGTAATTGCTCAAAAAAGTATTGTTTTGAATACATTGAAAGTTCGAAACATTACAATCTTATATCAGTAACTTTAACTCATTTTTCATAGTTCCAAAGCTATGTTGAATTTCATAATCAATTGATAAAAATACCATGAATATGAACTATACTGCTACTCTACTGCTACTCTTCTTACACATTCTTCTTACACATTTCAATTGCATATTTTTTAAAACACCCAACTCATTTTGAGGCCAAATTTGTTCATTGAAAGAGCAAGACCCGCAAGAAAATCCTCAACACAGCTAACAACAACAATGAAAAACTTTTATCCAACAATAAGAAGCTTTTATCCCAACTCATCAATTTGGAGCAACAACTACACGGACATTGTATGACATACACTAAATTTTCTCCATTACCGTAATGACTGAAGTACCGGGGATATACATGATTTACTCATGTTTTCCCATGAAAATAATGTATCATCAACTATTTTTTTACAGAGATTATCGAGATATTTCAAAAGATTATAAATATATTTAAGGCAACATTCTATTGACAAGAATTAACCACCAATATTCTGAAGTTTTTCCTTGAAATAAAAAAAGATTAGACAAATTTAGATGCTTGTTAAGTTAAAAAGTTCTTAATAATATTTTACCAAGGTTTAAACACTCCCTACGTGAAGCAAAAGCACGTACATATATCAAGCAAACCTTACTCAATCAGATCTTGAAAATTCCGAATGGTCATAGTACCATACTAACCAAATTTTATAATTCTTAACAACCTCTAAAATAGACCATTCTAACCAAATAGAATCTTGTAAGTGCAAGATAAGGATAGGAAATTAGAGCCTAGAAGAATTGTAAAAATGGCAAAAAACCAGCACCATTCCATCAAGAATTTTAAAATAGGCTATGTAATCACTTCTGCCTGCACCACAATAATACACTAGTATGCCAAAAATCGTAGATCAGAGAAACCCTAAACCATAGATCCATAGGAACGCCTAACAAGAGCCAAAAATTGCATAAAGAAAAGTTTCAACCCAACAAATTACAAACCAACATACCACAAAGCTATTCCATCTATGATTAAACTTACGAAATACTCACAGATCAAGTTACAAGAGATCGAAGGGAGGAGGAAGGATGATACAGAAGAAGCGCGATAGGACAGACGAAAGGAGAGAGAGAAGCGCGATAGGGCAGATAGAGCCACGGGGGCAGCGGGGTAATAGGGCCTCAAAGGAACGCGGGCAGCGGGATTGATCCCGTTGTCGTAGCTTCTTTGATTGGATTATTCCGATTCGCTGACGCGGCACTCAAAACAAACGCCACAGGGGGCATTTTCAAAACACACCCATAGTAATAAACTATCCCAAACGGGCCCTGAGTCTTTCACTCCTTTATGTTGCTTACTAGAACTAATCAATATATAAACCCTGCTTGAGGAATGATAACAAAGAATTATGAATAAACATTTACTCCGGTTGCGAAACTCAATATCATTTGGGTTTTATTCTCACTAACCGTGAATCTGGATTGACCCTACTACAACTTCACGTCAAGCATGCATTCTTTGATGTCGATCTCTCTGAGGAGGTTTATATGTCTCTCCTCTTCGGGATTTGACTTAGCTTCTTCCCATGGACAAGTGTGTTGATTGCAAAAGTCCCTCTATAGAATAAAACAATCCCCATAAGCCTTGTTTGGCAAGTCCACACAGGTGTTTGTGGGTAATGGGTTCTCTCAGCCCCAATCTGATCATACACTATTTTTTCGGCTGTCATCCAGTGGCAATATTGCCATTATCATCGTCTATATAGATGATATTGTGCTCATAGGTAATGATCTGCCGGCATTGGAGTCACTCAAAAGCATCCTTGTCGCATCTTTTTAAATGAAATACTTGGGCTCTCTTTGATATTTATTAGGCATGTAAGTAGCCCGATCCTTTTGGGGCATCTGCCTTTCCTAGCACAAATATGTGATTGACCAATTGATCGAGACCAACATTCTTCTTTGCAAATCGGTTTTTGTCCCAATGAACCCGAATGAGGAATTCATGAATGTTCCCATTGCCGTTCCAGTAAACAAAACCTTCTACCAATGCCTCGTTTGTAAGCTCATTTATCTCGCCCATACTCGTCCGGACATTTGCCATGCTGTGGGTATTGTCAATCAGTTTATGCATGACCCTTACGAGCACCATCTCACTGCAGTTCATTGAGTCATCCACTACTTAAAAAGAACACCAGACTCAGGTTTGTTGTTTACTTGTCACAATTCTTGGTAAGTTACGGTTTATTCGGATGCTGATTGAGTTGGGTCCACCCATGATAGACGATCAACCTTAGGTTATTACTCCTTCGTATGAGGGAATCATCACTTGGAAAAAGTAAAAAACAGTTCGTGATTGCTCGTAGTAGTGCTGGAGTTGAATTTGACTCATTGAATTTTGGTGTGTGTGAAGCTCTCTAGTTGTGTTTTATGCTAGCTGAGTTATGCCAGTCACTACTCCTTTGCTTCTGTTTTGCGACAATAAAGCCGCCTTTAGCATTGCCATAATCCGGTTTAATATGATCGTACCAACATGTAGAGATTGACCGTCACTTTATCAATGAGAAATTGATTATGGGGAGATCTTTGTTTCGTTTGTTCCATCTATTGATTTACTTGCTGATACTTTCACAAAGAATCATCCTCACCCGTTGTTTGAAGACTTCAAATTAAAGTTGAACATGATTGACATCCAAGCTTCAACTTAAGAGAAATTGCTAGAAATTATTAGTATTTATTTCTTTTCTTTCCTGATACTTTCTAGTTCATGTATTTCTTAGTTTATGACATTCCTTTTTTCTCTAGGTAGTTATTAGGAATTATTTTAATCGTAGAGATTTGTATATTATGTCTTTCCTATTTTATAACTCCTATATCTTGTATTCATATTTCTTTTGATATCAATAAAATTATTCCACTGAATTCCTACAGAAATTTCTTTTTTTTGCTTAGTAGAAAGAATTCTATTTGTGATTTTGTCAATTAACTAGTTAAATTCTAGAATTGCCATAGACAATTGAATATGTACCTGCTTCATTTCTAATTAGTTGTTTGAGTAGTAATATTGCTAAAATTGTTTAAAGGATGTATTTTGTTGCTGACCAAAACTACTCTATAGTCTATAAATTTCATAATTCATCCGCAGCGTCTTTCTTTGGTTCCAATTTAATTGAATGAATTGAGGCTTTAAAAGGTAGTTGCTTATTAATTCCAAATAGACCAACTATTTTTAGTTCTCCCGCAATGCGTTGGAGACATGAATGGTCTGTGCTTTTCTAAAATTCTGCTGTTTGATATGTGGTACCATGTGTATCCTTAATTTCTTTTCCGTTTACCATTTTTAGCATATGAAACGCTCCAAACATTGTTTGCATTTAAAAGAAAAGAATGCAACCACTTTCTAATAGGAGTTCGGGTGAAAACTCTCCCCGTATGGTAACCGTTGCATTAAGATATGCATAGAACTGTACTTTAGCTGCATGTAAGCAGGATGGAAAAAGAATAAAATAACAAAAAGCATTTGGATGAGTATTCGAGCTCATAACCTTATACAGGCTATCGTCTGTTCCAATTTGAAATGCAAATCATTAAATATTCATGGAAACCTTGGTGAGGTTATCATTGGACAGGTCAAGTCAGATCCCATGAAGTTTCCTGCCTGAAAAATATTGTCAACTACTGGTTTGATGGCGAACCTAATTCTAGAAATACATCTGTGAAACCTTTGTTGTCATACGAATTGAGCTGTGATCTGCGAACCTCCTCATATATTGCTGATGCTTCTACACTTAAAATAGAAAATAATTTGAAGGCAGCTTTACCTTGTTTTTCTTATATTCTCATTTGCATGCTTCAGACAGCTTTTTTTAAACATTATTTTAATATCAGCATTTGGATATTTTCTATAGGGCTATTATACATGCTTGAATTTCTATAGTCTGCTTGCATTTCCAAGCTATCTAAAGATCATTAGCTTGTTTTATTTTGATTTAATTGATGGAAATAATAGATTGGATAAACTTTTCTCTCGTTTCTTCCAAACTCAGGCGAGCTTTTCATTTTACTCATAATAACTTGCATCATACATTCTTGATTATCTTTTGTTCATTTGGCAGTCTGATTGTTTTTACAATGCCGGTTGGACAGAAGATGTACGAGAGGTTGTCAACCATCTTCATCAGAAATACTCTATGGCTCCTCTCTTTGCTGTCGGAACAAGCATTGGCGCCAATATTCTGGTTAAAAAATGAACTATTCACTAGCGTCGGCTCTCTATTTATTGTTTTTGTTGATGATAATCTCTTAGTATCTACAGTTCAAAATATTGGTACAGTCTATTCATTCGATTTATATATATGTATTCAACATTTTCATTCAAGTCCATGTCGTTCCAGGTCAAGTATCTTGGAGAAGAAGGGGAAAAAACTCCACTTACAGGGGCTGCATCTATTTGTTCTCCATGGGATCTTGTGGTTTGTTTATGTCCTCTTTTAATCTTCCCAGTTTGGTTTGTACATTCAGTAAGTTATTGCTTTTTTTGTTGAACCTTATGCCTAATTTTTGGTAGGCTCTTTGATTTTAATGTGAAAAGAATTGATTTGGTATGCCATATTAATATTTGTGTAATATTTATATAATCTAAGGAGAGCTTATTTTTGGAAACATATATGATACCTCAACATTTATTATAAATTTAGCTCAATTGAGTGGAATTGCAATGAAATATCACTAATGCAACATTACAACGGGTTGATTTGCATATTCGGTTTAGGAAACTTTGGGTCCGTGATTATATTTGAGTGGGAGAATTATTTTCCCATAATTGTCCATTATTGTGTTTTTTAATCTCTTTTCTTATTATCATGATGATTTGAATTTCCTCATACTTGAGTAAGGGTTAGTCCAATTTGTGTGAGAGCTTTTCTTCTAAATTCTACATGGTATTAGAGCTAGGGGAGAAACCTTAGATCTCGCCTCAGTCGTTGGAATGCCACGATTCAACTTGAGGCTTGGAGTTAAACAAGCCAGGAACGACGGTCGGACGGTGGAAATCAGTTCTATGCTATTCTAATTTTATTACTTACAATTTAATATTTAAATAATGCATGAAAGAGCCATTAAAGAAAACAATTAAAATTAACAATTAAATAATTATATCTTTCTTGTTATTGTTTTCGTCTTCTGTATACATTTGTTCATCTTCTATTTATTTTATTAAAATATTTAAAACCTAAAAATAATATGAAAGCACATAGTCGCACTATTAAATCACAACAATCCAATGAAAATAATACAATATGTATGTGAGTCTCTAATAAATCATATTATATGCTGGTTTTTATTTAAAAAAAAAAATCTGATATATGTTTATAAGGAATCTGATATTTGTAAATAAACAATATGATATTTGCTATTACATGCATCAATGACATTTTCTAAATGAACAAACACTAATCTTCTATATGTATTTATCTTAACTTTACTTTTGCTTTATACTTTACATGTACATAAATCTCTGAGAATTACCATCAACAAGCCTAACACACCATTGACCGATATTGCAGAGTTGGCTCCGATCGGCACTATAGCTAGCGATCTACACACCATAATTGTCTAGGATGGAAAGACCCTTATCTACCATTGATCGTTATTATCTCGTTGGGATAGTGATTAATAATGTAAATATTACAATTATATGGGGAGGTAAGCTTTGGCTTACTCGCCCATTTAACCATCACAATTGTCGGTGGTGGTAGAAAAACTCTATGCTCGCTGGTACACTGCGTTACCTACCTGTACCATTAAAGGGGTGAAATCCTCCTATAAACATGCACATACACACATTCGTATACAAACTATTTCATTCTGCATAAGATATATTACTCTAAAACATCTTTATACATTTACTAACATGTATACTTATTCTCCTGTGCAACTATTCATCGGGCAGACTTAACTTTCATATCTTTTATATATCAATCTCATTCATATCTCTTATTTATATCTATCTCATGTATCTTTTAGTTATATCATGCATATTTTTCCTACATGTCTATCTTACATGTCTACCATAGATTACTTATATCTATCTCATGTAATGTCTATCTAAATATCATTCATCTCATGCTTATCTTCATGCATGCACATCTTTTTCGATTATGCTTATCATGCATATCTTTTTAATTTAATAATATGAAGGATCTGATTAAACTAGATCATAAATGAAGTCAAATATACAATCTGAGATAAATAAGTTTTATGAAATTTTGAAATATAATTGGTCACCTCAGTTGTCATGCTAACTCTTAATCTTTGACAATTAGTTGGTTTTTGTGGTGACTATTCTATTGAGCTCAACAACCCATAAAACATAATATTTAAATTTTTAAGATTTAAATAATTTCTATTAGTCAAATTAATTTTCTTAATTTAGGATTTTACCTGAATTTTAAAGGAGTCGACCTACGATGATCTTCTGCACGCTTAACTCAAACTAGCTGCCTCACGTAACCAACTTAAAATCTTATACAAATTATGAATTCATAATATATTAGTTCATTAGGTAATTTACCTTAAAAAATTATTGATTTGCCAAAACATACCTTCAACAACTTTCTCGGAAACCGAACGTTCTCCAAAACTATCAAATTTATTTTCTATCACCTCCAACCATACTTCTTCACTGATATCCTGTTAGAACCCTTTTGGAAGATCGGAAAAGACGTTCGATGTTTCTGACACATAGTTGGAGCCTTTGACTGCTATCAGAAAGAAAAATTACAAGGAAAATAAGACAAAACTCAAAATGAAAGTGAGAGGAAGAAAAAATTGCCTCAAATGTCGTGAAAAAGAGATTTACACTTACAAAAATTAACCCGGAGCCCAAAGCCGCATCCTGCGGCTTCCTCTATGCTACATGTGGTCCTTACACTGCAGCAAGGGTTGCGACTCCCTTGCTGCTTCTGCCGCGCAAAAAAGGAAAAGGGAAGGGTATCGACAAGGAATGGTCGGGAGAGGAAAATTTGAAGCGGGGAGTGGGTCGTGCCTTGCCAAGTGGCCGCTTAGGGTCCATTTGGGACAGCTTATTTGCAGCGGTGGCGTTTTCAAAATGCCACCACCTGTTTGGAAATAGCATTCGTATAACATTTTGTAAAACTCCGTTATGATTTTACTATTACACGTGGATTGCGGGGTCCTACCCGCGATCCGTGTTTAATATTGTCGAAAGACGCCTACTGCCCCTCTTCCGTTTGCTCTGCCCTAATTTCGCAACAAGCGGCGAGTCGATCCCGCACGTCGCAACACTCCTCGGTCTCCATCTTCGGCAATCGTTCTCACCATTCTCACAGGTAACCTTTCTTTTTTCCTGCTCGATCCTCTGCCGCTCCTCTGCTTCTCCGATCGTTTGTGTTTCTGTGTTGGTCTTGTGATAAAAATCCTGACTGATCGTTTGTGTTTCTCCAATCTTTTGTGTTTTATTATTGTTTATTTTTTTTTCTGTGGAAGTTTGCTTTGGAAACTCATTTCTTGCCTCTGATATTTCGCTTTTTTTTTCTTTATTTGCTGTGGAAGGATTTCGGGTGAATCTGATTTGGGAATGTGTATGACTCCTTCTGTACATGCTTATGAAATGTGTTGATCTGTTAGCTCTTATTTCTATTCTTCTCCATTTTCTAATGCTATTGTTTTGCTTTCCTTGATGAAATTGATAGATCTTGATAAACAGTCATGCGTAGGACAACTTCCATATGTTTTTCTTGCTGGATGCTTACAGGAAACAATATTTTTTTTGTTGGACATCTTCGATAAGTTATTCTTGTTGGATGCTTTTATCAATCGATTTGTTATTCTTGTTGGATGCTTTTATCAATTGATTTGTTATTCTTGTTGGATATGTTCGATATGTAATTCTTGCTGTAAGTAGCATAATCCTTGTATCTAGGAAAATATAGTTAAAGCTACTTAAATTTTCAAGTCATCTAAATTTTAGATGATTTTTTTTTTTTGTAGTTAAGTGATGGATGATTTGTAAATTGATTAGTTGTTAGATTATAGTTTGGAAGAATTTTAAGCGAGCAAGATCCAACTTTATGGGTGGATAATGGTGGACTTTTCAAGATTTGCGTATTCTTCCATTCATCATTATATTTGTCAGTGTTTTTCTTGATGCTTTATTTTATTTTCAATGTTATTGCACTATCTTGATGCTATATATTTCATTAGTTGCATTATGAATAAAAATAAAGAAGGGAGTACGTCAGCAATGTGGGACAAGGATGTGACTTACATTTTCTGCAATCTCTGTATTAAGGAGATTGAATTTGGAAATAAACCTACCACCTACTTTAACAAAGAAGGGTGAGAATATTTCCAAAAAAATTAAGGAAATGGCAGGGCGGGATTACGATAGATTGAAATTCAAGAACAAGTGGGATCGGCTCAAGAAGGAATGAAAGTTATGGAAGGAACTTAAACGGGGATCGACGAGATTGGGTTGAGATCTTGTCAAGCGCATCATGGATGCTTCAGGGGAATGGTGGACTGAGAAGTTAGAGGTAATAACTGTACCCCTGCGAACTCCTCAATTAATTAACATTTATATACTTTTATTTTGTCTAATTTGCTCACACCCCTCCCTCCTTGTTACGGGCAGTACCAAATGCAAAAAATTAAGTTGTGCGGAATTGAGCCAGACTTGGAAGATAAATTGATTGTTATGTTCAAGGGAGTTGTCGCTACGGGTCAGCATGCGTTCAACCCCAATGAGCAGGGCTTTGCTGGCATATCAACTGACGTGATCCTTGATCAGGTTATCTGTTCAGGTGAAGGCCCTAGCATAAACCCTGGGGAACTTGAGTCAACTGGCCAATCAAAGAGGCGTAAGATGGAAGCTTAAGATGGAAAGAAAACGGAAAAATAAAGATGTTTTCGTGTAGAGTTCAATTGATAAACTGATAACTATTTTTGAAGCTAGTGGAAGATGATCTCATAGTTGATGGTTTTATGAGTTGTTTAGATGAAATTTCAGAAGTTCTTGCTGATCCTATATTCTACTTAAAATGTGTTAGGGTTCTCGAGGACCCAAACCGTAGGCAGATTTTCAAGAGGCTCCGACCCAAGCTGCGTCTTGATTATTTGCGTCTCTCAATTGATAAATGACTCTTTCATATCTCGTGTCTATTGTAGTTGCTTATTGTAATGAATATTTTGCTTTAGGTTTTAGGTGAAGTTTTTGATATGCACAATTTTTTTTTGGTTTTTTTGTAGTAGTATAATTTCAAGAACAAGTTTCTTTTTTGATATTTGTTTGATTTCTTTGTCTTTCCTTTAAGAAATTATTTATGCATAATACAACATTCATACAGGATGGATTGGTGGCGACAAGTGTTATACAGAGTACGCCGCAGAAGAATAACTGCGGCAATTCTTATATTGTTAATAGAGTACTACCGCTCAAACATAGTATGAACACTGTGAATGACCTCGTCATTTATTGGGGATAAATGGGTGGGCGAGATGC